CTGAGCCCGTCCCGTGATCCCGAAAGGGGAAGTCCCTGTGACTCATCCGCATGCGGCTCTGAGGAGCCGGCAGCTGTCTTGTCCTCAGGACCAGCCCCAGGCCTGATGGCCCTGACCTGGGCCGGCGGCATCCAGGCCAGCCTGGCTCGTGGCCCTGACCTGGGCCGGCGGCATCCAGGCCAGCCTGGCTCGTGGCCCTGACCTGGGCCGGCGGAGGGATGTGCAGCGACCTGCCCCCTGCTGACAGCGGGCGCGCTCGGTGCCTGCTGCGCGTGGCGCTCCCCCGCTGAGGCTACCATGCCCCAGAGAAATGGGCTGCGGCCCCGGTAGCTGACCAGCGTGTGGTGCCCTCTGCCCGTCCAGGCTGCCAGCGCTGAGTCCAGGAAGGCAGGTGCTGGCTGGGGAGCTCCAGTGAGTGGTGAATCTCCTGCTCCTAAACACGGCGAGGGGGACTGAATACGGGTGCTACTATCTCCTTCCTGGGCTGTCCCTCCCTCTCCCTCGGGCCCAGGGAAGCTGCTGGCTGCTCCGCTCCCTGCGCTGGCTGCTTCCTGCCTCCCGGGTTCAGTTTTGCCGTGTCCCAGCTGGCTGCAATGCTGGGCAGAGCCCTGAGTGGAGGAGCCGCCCTGTGCCAGCTCCCTGCCCGCCTGGGACAGCTCCAGCCAGCCAGGGCCGGTCCCAGCCTGGGTCTGAGCCTGTCCTCTTGCCTGCTGGCAGCTCTGGCTCTGGCCCCAGCACAGAGCGGGACAGACCCAGTGGGCCCTTGCTGCTGCCGGCAGGGCTGGGGCGGTGGATGTGCTGAGCCACGTGGGCTGGCTGTCTGCTGCCGCGGAGCGGAGGGCGAGCGGGGGAGGTCCTGGGGCTCGTTAGCCAGCCCACTGTGCCCGTGGTGCTGCGAGCCGGCCAGGAGCTTCCACAAGCCGTATTACGTGGTGCCGCGTGGCAGGGGGGTGCTAGAGCGGCCTGGCAGATGAGCCAGCAGGCCCCTGAGCTGGGGCCAGCGCAGCCAGGGAGCGGCTCAGTGCCGATGAATTAACCATTGGCACAGCGCGGGGGGAGGCATGGCTTATACAGCGAGCTGGGCTGCCCTAGGAACGCGCGTGGGGCGGGGCTGGGCGCTGGGCTCAGGCGAGCTGATCACAGGGGGTCTCTGGGTCTGCCCTCAGGCGGGTGCTGCTAGGGGAGCCTCGCAGCCTGCCCCCTCCAGGGCCCCCCTGGTCCCTGGGCAGGCCGGAGGAGCCCAGGTGCTCTCTAGAGGGCATGCTCTGCCCTGGGGCATTGTCTACTGTCACGGAGTCCCCGGGCGATGCTCTGGAACTGCTCCCCACCAAGCCAGTCAGGACTTTGGGGAGCCTCCTCTCCCTTGGAGCAGACCGTCTTCAGGACAAGCTCACAGCTTCACCTCCTGGGTCTCTCCTGGGAGCATTCAGCATATGCCCGTCCGTGTGCTTCCCACAGCGAGTCCGCCCAGGCGGGGTCCTGGGGAAGCCAAAGGGTTCTGCACCCCCACTTCACAGTCAGACGTGACTCTCGGACAGCCAGTAAAACAGAGGTTTATTAGACGACAGGAACAGGGTCTAAAACAGAGCTTGTAGGTACAGTGGCGAATGGGACCCCTCGGCCGGGTCCATTATGGGGCTCAGAGAGCCAGACACCCATGTCTGCCCTCACTCCTAGTCCCCAGGTAGCTCCAACTCTCCAACCCCTCCTTCCGGCTTTGTCTTTTTCCGGGGCCAGGAGGTCACCTGTTCTCTTTATTCACCTTTAGCTATTTCCTTGCAGGGGGGGAAGGGGCCCTGGCCATTTGTTGCCAGGGAGACAGAGTGTCC